GTGTGATAAAGACATCAACGCGAACACCTAACGCGTATTTATTATTGATCATCACATTGTTTTATCATATAATCCAGTCGTTCCTAAACTGTGGGTCGCGACCTCGGATACGCACACAAGTGAATAGGATTTGGGAAGTGAAATTTGTGTTGTTCAGCAGTCGGCACTCGACAGGTAACGTAATAGTGTCTAACTTCGGATTTTTCAGCAACAACTACATTTATTGTCCAAACGGCGCCAAAACTGCTCGATAAAACTTTTATGTGGTACTCAACCTTTCCAGCTTGTCGGCAGGTACCGGTAATAGTAAATGGAATTAAGTGACAATGTGACGAGCGCCAATAATATTTTCCTATTTGCAGCATTTTTGATCATGTTACATCCGAATAAGTAGCTGTCCCGCTGGTACGCGAATCGGACTTTTTGGCAGGCTGCGAGAAATTAAGTTGGTTTGTTATTTTGTACCGGTGTAGCCGCTTGGAATATACAAAGCAAAGTTTCTTTATTTGACAATTAGCCCACTATTAGGTGATTGGCAAATATGGTATTGATTGCCAGTCGGTGTTTTGGCTGGCTGAGTAATTTACACTAGAGGATTCGGTCAGTTGCGAAAGCGGTTTGTTAATCGCACACGTGTCTGAAATCTAGGAGTACGCTACGTGTTCTGTCCACATCGCCTCCACATAAAAGCGAACATTTTTGTATTGCGATATTACGTATTTAGACGTTTGATACATAATTTCGAAGCGTTCCGAGCAGTTAAACACAAAATCACATTGGGTTCTAGCATAGAAAAAGGCACTTAAAAGATGTGATTCCGTACAATTTTTTTCCTATTTTATTTTCTTGCTTTGTTTTATTTTTGAATTAATGATGGAGCAATCTGTAATATGTTAATATCAAACTAAAAATAAAAATAATAAATAAAACCGTTGAAATATATTAAATAAGAATTAAAATTTATGTATATTTAGAAGCAATCTTACTATTCCCGAAGTATCGTACGCTCCAGGTCCGTCTATTCAGAGACAATGCATAACAACTTGTTTCGCCAAATAACCGTTGTAATTCTTATCTAAGATGATCTGAGATGTTTACACCGTGGTTTTCATACGACGCCATGTGTTATCAAATCTTCTGAGGTTTTTCCGGCACATTGCCGGAATCGTTCATATATTTTTTGGGCTAATGTATGTTCACCGTCAACGTCCACTTGCAGTCGATATTGTTCCCATTTAGATAATTAAACAGATATACAGTATTGATTTTTTGAAGTTGCTCTATGTTTCCAGTTGTAGGGCTGCGAGTATCTGTAGGTTTTGATTTTATGAAAATTGGGTCGTGAAAAAAGTATAATCTACACTGTAGATTTTCAACCGTTGTTCCGCGGAACACCTGCTGTTCCTTGAACTACATTTATGTGTTAGTTGTCAAGTTGTTGTTTCTCTATTTATTCTGATTGACAAATTCATGATAGCGAATGAGTAGTAGAGTAGAGCATAGGTTCTCAAAGTCCTCTGTGAGAGAAACCCAGGGGCTCCGCGAGCTATTCGATTACTTTTTAAAATACTGACTAATTTTGTAACGGTTCAAAGAAGCAATAACAGCTTTGATAAAATCTGACAACAATATAGCCTCGAAATATGGAAAAGAGGCGGAATTATGACATTATTTATAAGCAGGAGCACAGCCAGGATTCTTAGAGGGAGGTGGTTCTAAATTGGAATTGGAAATTTCCGCGCAACATTCGCGATTGAAAAAACGGATAACGAGATTTCTGTTGCGTAAAATATTCAATCCATGACCGACGCGAGCATTTAACGTGTCTCGTCGTTATAATGTAATTGTGCTCATCGTTTCTCACGTTTGATTCGAGATTACTATTAGGATTACTAAAATGAAAGAATACTATTCTAAAGTAACATAAAATACGTGATGAACTGCCAACTATAAATAAATTGGAGTAGTATTTTTGCGATCTTGGGATTTGTCAAAGTTGATTTGTTCTTTCGCACTTGAGATTATTTTTAAGCAAGATATCACCTTTTAAAAAATCACAAAGTCTGGGCAAAATACGAACAATTGAAATTTATTTTATTGCATTCGGCTTCGTCGGTAGTTTCAGAATGAAAAAAAAGGTACATCGCGGATCGCGCGCACAATTGATTGCGTGCAGCTCCGTCGTAGTTTCAAAATGGGAAAGAAGGTACATCGCGCGCACAATTGACAGTGTTTCGATTTCGCAGTTACTACGATGAAAACCTAACATAACATCAAATTTTGTGATTTACAATGTCTATAAAAGCGTTTTCAATCTGAGGTGAGTCTGCTGAAACCAAACGTGTGATCTTCCATTTTAAGTTTTAATATTTTAGAATGCCTATTTTCAATCAAGAAATTTGAGTTGCGGATTTACCTCTTTACTAATTATTATTTTTAGCATTTCGTCGTCGATGACTATAAAATGTTAACATATTTTTTACATTGAACTCTTAATTCCCCACGAGAACAACAAAAAAGCAAATAACGTCGTCATTGTGTAACAATACATGTGTATGCCGAGGGAAATTTTTGATTTAGGGAGAATAAACACCGGCGTAATGATGTTTAAAGGTTCAAAAACACGCCATGCTGAGGAAAAAAATCGGCGATTGTAACAAAATGCAATCGCGCACTTTATTAGCGGCCTTTTAAGTCTTCCAAAAATGTCAAAAGGAAAAAGATTCGACCCCTAATTTATCAGTATGTTTGTCAAGTGTCAAATTTACAGCTTTAGTATATATAATTAATTTTAAAATTTAGATTTATTTATGACTTGTATTAACCCTATTAAAAAAGGATCAGCATTTAAATTGAGTAAAGTACTTTTACCTTGCTCAGGAACATTAATCTGAAAGTAACAATTTTAACATTTATTTTGGGGCTCCGTGAATAATAGTCAACATTTTCAAGGGCTCCGCAGCACCAAAAGTTTGAGAACCCCTGGAGTAGAGAGTAGAAATCAGGATTCACCGAGCACGTTTTTGGTTTATGATAAATCTGCTGTTTTATAATAAGAATCCACAACGCTAAATTTCAAATATATGAATCTTGTAAACAGATCAGACAGAGCATTCTTATTCTTTGAAATTTGTCAGAAGTAGTCGTTTGCCAACATACTGCACGTTATATTGTAAAATTCTTGTCATGATGGATGAATAATTGAAATAAATCACTAAAAAACGGCAGAAACGTGCATGAGAATCCATGAAATAAAACTAGCTGCGTGCTCGTCCTTCCCCAATCCCCGTCAGAATAGACTTGGTGTCATTGATACATATCTAGATATCATTTTAAATCGCCATTGCTAATTCTAGCAAATTGAATAATTCTCAATTGTAATTCAGCATTTTGACCAGAGTTTGAAAACTTTCTTTTTACCTGACAGCTTTCTATCCATGAATTTGCATTTGTTTCCATGTTTACAATTCGGCTTCCATTTTTTTCTGAATTCCTTGAGGATAAGAAACTTTGAATGTTTTAATTTCGAATGGTTTCTACGGAATTTATATTTATTCGAAATTGGCGGATATTAACAATATATTTCGATTGAATATAGTAGGCGTTCCAGAAGTATGTGTACCAATATGGAGGTAACTAATTTTGTTCGCCTACTTTACATCAAGTTGTGTAAAGACTGAAGACCATGGGCAGGGGGTATATTCACTTGACTAACACAGACAGTCCCCGAGCTTGTAAGAGTACTAAAATAAGGAAAATAAAATAATGGCCTGACCCTAACATGGTACACATACAAGTACTACGAGAGTACCGAATAGTTAGCATTGAAATACTACTAAAAGATGATACAAACGAGTCACACTTTTAAATATTTACAACATCGTCGTCAATGGAACGATGAATAAGTTTGTCACCGTATTACATACATATACGATCATATATCACCATTTGACGTTGTATACGTTTTTCAAATTTTGAAGATACTTACTATATTAATGGTCCATAGATCCCTGTATTTATTATTTATTAAGAATGATTTTATTAAATGGCAACATTTTTATTTTATATCTCGGTGATAAGTCTATTGCGCTAGCTAATTCTCCAAATTTTTATCCCCATATATATATATAAGGTTTATTTAGTTTTCGCACTGTTCAAATGAATCATGGAAGCGATTCCTTAAGGTGTGGCACTCCCAAAAAACTGTAAAATGTACTGGCAGTTGCAGGAAACCTAATATTCTTATGCCAATTAAATTGACTGATTATAGTTTTACTTAGTCAAGATGTAGATTTCTACACTCTTGTTCCTATAAAAATTATTTTTTGTCTACTTAGGCTTTTGTTGAAGAGCTAATTTAGTCGATATGTTTTCGATTAACATCCATTAGTATTTATTTTTGAATTGTGTCTTCTCGCTTGAGCGAATTACAACGGCAACCTGGTTTGTGAAGTCGCAAATAGAGTTGACGGTATATAAAATATTTTTAATCAATTCATTTGAAACGACAACTTCAAAGACTGCACGAGAGTAGAAGACAGTATAATGAGAAACTCAACCGGTTGAATCAGAATAAAAAATAAACTTTTTTTTGCCCCAATGCCTCTGTATGTATGTACGTTCATGATACCTTCGCCTTATCATTAATGAATGCATCAAAGTATGGGATTCTGGTCAGCAAACCAAAATGGAATTGTCAAAAAATCCAAATGTTGTTTTGGCTTTGAATGTTGTAAGACAGGTTAGCGAAAGCTTGAGTGTGTAAGTAGTCTGCTGTGATTCAATCCATTATGAGTTCATGAACGGCAAATTCACTTCAAAGCCTCATAGAAAGTCATATTAATTTTAAATTTATCTGTAGAGTGAGGTCGCAAAGTTTGTAAGATTCTCCAAAGGGGGATGCGGCTCGAAAAGATCAAGAAACACTACCCTATGCTGATTATTGGCAATAATCGTATAACGTGTTTATTTTAGCTGTGAATTTATAGGCAAAAGTTTGTTTTCCGGTAGTTTCAATAAAGAGCTGTTGATACAAACCAGAAGGCGGATTGTTACAAAACTTTGCATCTACGGAGTTCATTAACGCAACATCTAACACATTTTTCAAATCAATCTTAGCCTCACAGTTTTGTGATATGGCAAATAGAACTCAGTCAAAACGGATTACGCTAAGTGGATTTATTCTTGCTGCGAGTGTTGTATTCATTTACACCTTTTATAGACCTAAAATCGTTGGTAAAAATTTGGATATAGATATTGGATGGAAAACAAAAATATATCAGGAGGTACGGAATTTGAATATATTTATTAAATCAGTAAATTATAATAATTAAGATCGCCGAAGGAACACCACAACTGGCGTATAATAGTAACTCTAACCATGCACGACAAGCGTAAGTACTTGTCATGCTTGTAAAAGAAGCGCTCAACATTGCTGCTTCTACCGCCGTATATACTCACAGTGATATTTTGAACACACGGACCATTTTAATATATTCAAGTTATATCGGAAAAATTAAAAAAAAATTGTTTGAGGATGTTCAAGGAAATCCAATTGGAGTAATAAGTGGGGTTACCTCAAGTTATAGATTACGTTGCAAATAATGTCAACAACATTGAATACCACAGTTTAGACTTAATCTTTATGAACCTCCCGTACCCATAATTTATTATGCAAGCTCTGTCGAACCCCAACTATTCCAACAGTTGAAGTTAATATCGTGCAAGGCTATAGATTATAATAAATGAATTTGTATATAACTGGTCTTGTGGGAAATCTTTGCGTTACATTCTCAAGACCGCCTATTCTTTGGGTGCGTCGTGTATAGTCATTAGACCAAGTATTTTTGGAAGACATCTTTTACAAAAAAACTACTAGTATTAGGTTTTTGGGAAAACTTGAATTTTCCACGATCATTGTGATGTAAATTAAGATATCTATACACTGTGGCCAGTTTCGTTGCGACGGCATCAGAACATATGTTGGTGAAAAAACGGCTTTTTGTTGTAAAAGTTGTTCAGGTCGCAATTGGAAAAGCGCCCAAAACTGAAACCGTCGATGGCTCAAGTCATTCATAACTAGAAACTGCAGTCAGATGCGGATAAAAACATTTGCCCAGGAATTAACAAAAGTAGACATAACATATAACGCACATCCACGTCGCCCAGAACGTGAGATGATAATTTTATTGCATAGCTCTGCACTGAAAATACGTGGATGGAACGTAAAATGATGAAATAAATGAAGTTTTTTGAAATGAAATATCAAAAATAAAGCGGGCAAGATCAAATCTAACGAATATTTTTATTTTTAATTATCACGCCCCCGCTCCAATTGTCTACGCCTCTCTTGTAGGGGGCGCCCCACCATTTGAGAAGCACTGGTTTACACCCACGGACTTTCGCAAATATGGTCTTTTTCACCAAGGGGTCGTTTGCACCCATAAATGTTTGCCCCAACCACCAGTATATCTGGTGTGTTTGTGTTTGAACATAAATATAGATCGCGAATTGATGAGAGTAGCAGTCTCATATACTTTTCAGAGATTCGGTGAACTTTGTAAAAATAAGCAGACCGGCACTTATGACAATAAACCACATGTCTAACATTTTGCAGAATAGACAAGAAAAACGGATTGTTTCGAAGAACAATGAACCTACACAAAGGAGCAAAGAGTCTTTGTTATTAAGACGAATTCCTCAGGTAAAAAGTTCTTTTGCTACGCCTTCTTGTCATCAAACTTGTCGAGTTTTTTCTCTTTTTTTCCCATTAATTCTCAGGTCATCTGTATCGGAGTCAAAAAATGTGGCACCGGAGCTTTAAAAAGTTTTTTGGGTAAACACCCTAAAGTCAAACTTCCAACTGAAGCAGAACCTCACTTTTTTGACAACAATGCTACTTTTGAAAAAGGTGTAGAATATTACAGGTTTGTGATATTTGTATCACAGTACACATGATTTGAAAGAAGTTTATGAGAAATAAAATATTATATTATACATATATTAAAATTCAAAACTTTTTTGTATCTCTTGCATCTGATCACGAGAAACAGCCAGTTCAGCAGCGGCCCATTTAAAACAACGTGAATATTGAGTATATTTAGTGCTCGAATGTTACCTCCCATCTTTAACTTGTACAAAATCAGAAATTGTGCGATATGCATAATTTATATAGGATAGGATTTACAGATTTATCCCGGGGGAGAGAAATGCCGATTAGACGACTTAATCATATGGTGAACCACGGCCAGTGGCCCGGTTATCAGTCCATGTTGGGTATGGGATTAGTTAGCCAGTCCTCGGTGCATGGGACTTGATTAGCCTAATCGATTTAGCCATGTTAGCTAAAAGTTGAAACCAAGCTAAAAAATATTCGTTTGCTTTCGTTTGCTATATTATAAACATGAATAAATCATATCAAATTTTAATTCAGATCATTAATGCCGCTGAGCAGAAAAGATGAAATAACTATGGAAAAAACACCGAAATATTTTGTGACGGAATGGGTTCCTGAACGAATTCACAAATTCTACGCTTCTCAGTCAATTCGTCCTAAATTCATACTTACATTATGCAATCCAATTGACAGGTTTTATTCTGAATTTGTTCACGTTTATACTGGGAAAACATACAACATTACAAGAAAGGTGAATTACGTTCAGTGCATTTTGTGATCTAGAATCTAGATCAAATACCACAATAGTTCTAAAGATCTAAAGATCGATAAGTATGTTGATAGGTATATGTCTGTTTGTCTGTTAGATACACGCGATATCTCACGAGGGCGTGGTTTAATCTGCTCCAAATTTTGCATGTGCATTCATCATATCTCGGACCAGAAGCCTATTGATTGGATTGGATGAATTATGTCGTATAATTAGCTAGTTATTAATTAATTAGTGATGGGACACGTGGTGTCACTATAGAGTCATGAATCGAAACCGCAGTTTCGATCGATAAGTCTTCGGTCTCCGACCGATATTCTTGTTTAAAGGGTTGATATCAATTTCGTTCTTTTTATGGTCAAGTTTACGTGTTAACGCTTAGCAATAACTTTGTACAAGTGAACTACAACAGTCTTCTAAAGTTTCGAAGAATTAATATAAATATGTGATTTGTCTGTGAGTTCTTCCATTTCAAAATTATATTTTCGTCAAACATGTTTTCAAGATTCCTAACTTATTGTGTTTTTTTGCTAGTGATTGGTAGAATTATATCCTGTCTTACTATTTCGGTAAAATGCGGCATGGGTCTGAGAATATATCGCGCTAATCACGCTAAACTTAATGGCACGAGAACGCATAAACTTACCGTTGATAATTTGCTTTGGTGAAAAGATCTCAGCTTGTTAGGATCGATTCCACGCGCACAAAAATAATGCAATACATTTTGCATAGGGAATCATTAAATATCTGTGTAAGTAGCGGTAGTTTTAGTATTTCATTTTCTTGACTTTATGGTTTTATTGATTGACTTTTCATATCACTGGAGGGTTTATAGCCTATATGCATATTGGATTGGCTACACATGCCTATTTCACAGTCTGCTTATAACATTTGTCCCCTTCTCTACTTCTGTAGCCTACTTTTTCTCTGAGTGACGTTTGCCACTTGTGCTAGAAGCTTGCTAACTTGTATTGAAATAATGAAACTAATATGCAACACATTGGTTGGACCACGACTATCGCAGATATTCAGAAGCATACATAACAAAGGTTTAATAAGCCAAAGAGCTTACGCGATGCAGCATGTAGACTTTTCTCATTAAATAGTATAATGCGCCTGTATATGCAATGTCAGATGCTAAGAACTTTTTGCGCTTTTTAATCTTGTAATCAGTTCATCTTCGTTTCAGATAAAGAAAAACCCCACGGTGGCTGAATTAGTGCACGAACTAACAGAAAACGTGTCATCAACTTTGAACGAAATCGTACGCAGCAACAATCTGTCGTCCAATCACAAACATGTAGCATTTACACAATTTATTCGAAACAATTATGAAGCTTCACTGTTGACAAATGGATTTTACATGTTTCATCTAAGCAGATGGCTGAGGTATTTTTCAAAAGACCAACTTCTTATTGTCAACGGCGAGGAAATTATTAAACGACCTTGGAACGTGATTGAGAAAATACAAGACTTCTTAGGAGTTGATAAGATTATTACAAAAAAAGATTTTTTCTACAATAATGAAAAAGGATTTTACTGTGTTCATAGTTGTCTTGGAGATAATAAAGGCAGGACAAGATCTTTGAGTCTTGAAAAAAGGTCACCATTTCCGTTGTTAACTCTCGATGACAGGATTACATTGAGAAAGTTTTATGAACCTTTGAATGATGCTCTTTATAAATTTCTTCATAGAACATTTTACTGGTAGATTACGTTACTTGTTAAGTAATTAATCTGATTATAAAACACATGAGTTATCGGAATTCATGTTTAAATTACAACTAAGCATTTTTTTTTGCTTTACGTGTACGTGATTTATGATGTAACATTCCTATTCCAGCGGCCACATTTGTATAAATGCTACACTCCCTAAAAAAATGTTGCTGTGCTGAGAGCTGAATCGAAAAAAAGTCTACATCGATTTTTCGTCTTTTTATGATTGACATAACCTTGCTTTACGCAATTTTTCTTTGTGGAAATTTATTCACAAAGTGTCCCGTTTCTTAGTACGTGAGACTGAATTGTTCTGAATGATTGCCTCAGCAATTAGGAAACACGAGATATTTAAAATTAATAAAATCCCCCTGATGATTTATTCAATCAGTATTTTTGCTCTCGTTTCTCACAGTTACTGTAAATCTTGATACCAACAACCTGTATACGCCGTAAAGACAATTCGTCACGCTTCATTGCAATAAAACTTCATTTTTTCTGCGATATATATCCCGTCCAATCATTCTTATTTACTATACTTTTTCATGAGTATGCATTTATTTCAATCGAATCAGGCAGAATACAATATGTTGATACAATATACGTTTATTACATTTTTATTGAAAAACCAGATATACTTTTCTTGTTAATGCTGCTTGTTGTCTTCAGCATTTAGTAGATAATAGATTTACCTGCAAAAAAGGTTAAATTGTGATCAATCGAGTCTAGATTTAGGAACAACACAAGATTCCACCAAGCAGTAAAACAATGTTGCTTCTCTGCAATATCTTACTTAACCAATTTTACTCACAATTGTATCAACTTAGGCGAAATTTGAGAAAATAAAAAAACATAACTTTTCAAAAACTGATAAATTCTTACAATATTTGTGGTAGTCATGGCAACAATTACGGGTGTCCACGCACGAAGAGTCGCAGTTGCATTCATCGGTATATCCATACAATCCTAAGTTGGTGCATCTGCCTTTACAGGATGGCTTTGGTGGCGCTGGTTCTATAAAAAAGAAATCATGAGCGTTGGTTTGAAACTACTTGTGACAATCGGCAATACATTGTTTATTAAAATCCTTAGTAAATATTCTAGCGAATCTAAATCTATTATCTAAACTTTTTTCGTTTTTAATGGCATTGTGTATACCTCACCTTTACAATGTCCTGGTTTACCAGATCCAATGTAACCGGATTTACACGTGCATCTGTACTCCGTGGGGCTGATGTCTTCACAAGTCGCATACGGGTCGCAAACGCTCTTCTCGCACGGGAAAACCTCTGTGTATTGTGAACGAATAATCAATTAAAAAAGACGATATCAAGCCAATTTCTATCATATTGCACACATAACATTTTTTGCTCTGAGATAACTGGAATTAAAGTTGGCTCTAATACAACATTTTGCAATAATTGGACCGCAAATATTAAATATGGATGAAACAAAAGAGCTATTCCATAATTTATGGACACGAAAGTACGGGCATACAATCTGTCACAGAATAATATTGCCACAATAAGCACAATTTTTAATTTTAATGACGTTGAAAAAAAGCGAATTCCACAAAGCTCACAGAAATTTTGAGATAAATAAAAGTACAGTAATATCCTTCTAACAAAAAATACAATCTTCAATAAATGAAGCAATTGGTGCAGTAGTTAATGAGAAAAGCGATGAGGAAAGCGAGAAAAATACTAATAAGGAATTGAACATGGACAACAACAACAACATAATAACAAATCGATCCGTATATATGTACATTTTGTCTCCAAAAACAACAGAAATGATATGTTTTAGTCAGAATATAAGACTTTACAATCGCAATTTTTACCAGAGAACTGACTGTTATTCTCCTTCTATCGAAGGTTTATATCATTTTGTTACTTAAAATTTGAATACTGATTCATTGTTTTCTGTTTAGTTTTGGTATTTGCAAACAAAATATTTTTTGCGATTTTGCTACCATGCATATATTTATATTCTATTTCATCAATTTTACAGTCTCAATCCGATTACATTTCATTATCGTTTCGCCTTACAAACACCATGTCATAATAATCAGTTGAAAGCCGCAGATGAAATAAATTATGCTATTCGAATTTCGCTTTCAAATATTAAATTGTTTAAAAATAACTACATTACACTTCTTTTTATCACAACCATAATTGACTTTTCTTACGTCTGCATCTGTTATTTAAACCCTGGACGTATCCAGTGTAGCATTTACATTCGTAGTTATCGTATCCTATGTTTTTGCAAGTTGAATGTATGCCGCATGGTTTTTTGTCGCATGGGTTTCGTCCTGAAAATAATAATAAAAGTAAAAAAGACAATAATTTATAAAAGTCTGGGCAAAAATATAATTTTAGAAACCCTTTCCAAGCTGTTTTTTGAGCCCAGTGAAAAAGAATTTACTTGTCAACTATTTTACTTCTATTTCGCGCGATGATGATAAGAGACTTTCCCATAGCGATTTGTCACGTGAGTGAGTCAATGGCAAAATGTACTTTTGTAAATCGCCAAGTATAGTTACGTATAAGCTCATATGGGCGTTCGGTTGGCGAAGGGTTGCTGTATTTCGAAGACATCAATAGTTTCAGGAAGACGTTGGCAACCTAGTGTTGATTATTTAATTGATGTGGTCTCAATTTTTCCAACGTCTGACGGTGTGAAGCAATGCGTAAAAATTTGTGTAATTACTTTTACAGTGTCCTGGCTTCCCTGTTCCATAATACCCTTCTTTGCATGTACATTTGTATTCATATGCGTTTCTATCCTCACAAGTTGCGTGGGGGTCACAAACACTGCGTTCACATGGAAACAATTCTGTAAAGTTTTAACGTTTTTTCATTATTACTATTTTCAATTTTTAGGAAACAGTGTTGATTTTACACATTCGGTACACACTATGAAATAAAAAACACTTCATAAGTCAATGTTTTGTTTCATATCACTATAGATCCATAAAATTATATTAGGGTGTCGGCCAACCCCTTTTTATTTATTTAGTAGCAATAAACCATGAAATATTTTAAGTAACCTATGCTGTGCGCTCACATGTTTACAGGCCGTGACAAAAGTAAAGTCACAGACAAAAAAAGTGATGCGTTTCAAAACATGTAGAAGGTACCGATAAGGAAGGTTGCACGATTTCGAAATATTGGGAGTTTTATTGGAAACTATATTTCAATACATACGTCTGCATTTATTAGGTCCGTCATGAACATAGTCACCGGGATGGCAATCGCATTTGTAATCATAGTCTCCTTGATTTATGCAATTAGCGTATTCGCCGCATGGATTTCGATCACACGGCTTGATTTCTGAAAAAAGGTTATTTTGGTACAATTTGAAAACTTTAGATCTTGGTACGTTTTGCATCACCTTTTGAAATATTATTCTGTTTACTTACTTATACATATGTCACCAACTAGTTTGTAGGTTTTAGCACATCTACAAACGGCTTCGCCCATTTCAACAAAACATTTGGAGTTTTCCATGCAGTCCACAAGGAAACAAGGATTGATAACTATAAAAATGACAGAAATATATTATGCCCAGAGAATGATTTTAATTTTATATATTCATGAATTTTAGCAAAAAACAGAAACGAACGAACAGGAACGAAGAGTAAAACAGTTTCTTTTGAAAGTTATGAGAGTACGTTTTTCGCGAGTCAAACTCTATTTTATTAAACGGTGGAAAAAACAACTTTTGAAAAATTGTACCACAATGACGATGTGGCCTTTGTGAGCGTATATCTGAACATTGCTCTCCTCTTTGTAAAACTATAAATTTGTTGAAAAGGGTTTCTACTTGAATCGAATATAGGTTGTCTTTAGAAACAGGATGGCATGATGTACAGTACTAACTAGTTTTAAAATAATGTTCAACCAAAACTTTCGTTCGCTTTTTTCATATATTGCATGACTTACTTTTACAGTCTTTTCCATTTCCTTGGTAATTATCTTTGCATGTGCAGGTGTAATGAGTGTAATTTAAGTCTTTGCAAATTGCATGTTCATGGCAAAGACCGGGAGTTTCACATGGATATTTTCCTATATACAAAAGACAATATAAATATATATGTGATATTGTCTGGTATTTGGTTGTTTTAGAAACTTAGTTTTAAAGTCTCTCAAATCCAGAAATTAGCTAGCACAAGGCTAACATTTTAGCATTCATAAACAAAGTTATTAATATTATTAAATTAAACTTACTGATACAAATCTTGCCGTCTCCCTTCCATCCCTTATTGCATTCACAAGTGAAATGAGTTTCGTCGACGTTTGTGCAAGAAGCATTCGCATGGCATGGATAACGATCACACGGGAAAAGTTCTGAATAAATACAAAGTAGGCAATATCATAAAATAGTTCATTTAATTACAGTGATAGAGGAAGATACACCCTTGCGTTCGAATATGATTAAATTGAAGTATAATTGAGAAGAATTGAATCTTACTTCTACAGCTGAAACCATCACCAGTATAACCTTCAAAGCATACACAACCATAGTTGCCATCTGTGGTTGGAAAGCATTGAGCGTTCACATCACACATGTGATCATCACATGGTCCTGCAAAATTATATATAATATATTTAGTAATAATTATTTACGGGGTATTTCGGTAATGAATCAATTTGTAGTTATAACCTATGAGGTGGGTTTTTGAACATGGAGATTCTATTCGTTTCCAAACTTTTTAACGTTTTGTTTTAGAATGCGCTACATAGGATTCCGTAGGCTAACACGGTGGTAAAATCAATTTAAAATGTATACAATCTTTCTCTTTACATTTCTGATCATGTGTTCCTACCTGTGCTTTAGGGATGATTGTTTTTAGTGTCTACAAATTTTCAATGCCGACTTCATTATACATATATAGAAACATTCCTCAAAAATGAACTTACGTTTGCATTCGTATCCAGAACCGTAATATCCATCTGTACATTCACATCTGTATTCGCCCCCTTCTGTGGGAATGCATTGTGCGTGTGGGCTGCAGGTATGGTCATCACAAGGAACTGGGAAATAAATTTAAATTTGTTTTTCCAAAGTTTAAATTTGAAAACTGAAAATAGAAAATAACGCCATTGTTTCTGGTTTTCGACCAACACCCGTCCATATTAAACTTTCTTTTACTTTATTGTTAATCATGTGTGATATAGTAATAAAATTTGAAATTTATTTATAGAATTAATTATTTTCATATTTGCCTTGAGATTAAAGTTAACATTTAGTGTCATGCATGTTTTCTTCGTAAATATAGGTAAAAGAGCGTTTGCTTCTCTTTTATATGAAATAGCTTGGAACAAAAACCAAACCAGTTAAAACCAAAATTACCTACTTTCTTCTTGATCGGCTCAATGTGTTGTGCATCACGTTTTATGGTTTATAAGTATAGCCTCAAGTCACAAATACAAACTTGCAGACGCTTACAGTGATAAACGTGACCTAATTTAATAAATACTGATGTCCGTGAAAACAAAAGTAGTTTTGCAACGATTTTATGGCATCTTTCTTGAGCCCAAAACATGTACAGTATGATTAATAACAATGAAAATTTTTAAAAACTCACGTTTGCAGTTGTAACCGTCTCCATAATATCCGTTGATGCATTGGCATGTATAACTCTTGTACCCTTCTGGTACGCATTTAGCATAGTTGTGACAGTCGTGGTTTTTGCATGGGTTGATTTCTGCATTATAAATTATTTAGATTTGTTTATAATTTTTTAAACACACTGCAGGGAGTTTAGCTTTGCAATCAGTGTATTTGTTTTGAAGGTGAACCTATTTTGGTACCACGGGAATTATTTCACTTCCTGATAAAATAAAATATGTAAATATTGGAATGGCAAACAACAATTATATACCACAGGGTGGTCCCAACTGCGGCCCGCGAGCCGCATTCGGCCCGCCGATACATTCCTTCATCTTAGTCAAAACACTCATGTTACCGCAGTGACAAAACGCGCAATCTGTTTTTTTTTTTAAATTGGGTCCGAGGTCCCAACTTAGACGAACTTGTTGTTTTTTGACGGTGGCACTAGGCCTGCTCTCGCTAAGTAATAATAATTTTTTTTTAATATAGCAAATCGTCATACAATGAGTGTAGAAAAAAGGTGATGAAAGTAAACGGAAATGAAACGTATTTCCTAACCCACAACAACGTCGAATCACAGTCTCTGGTATGTTTCCGAGTAATATCTGTCACGAAATAATATAATTCCAAGCGACATTACAAAACCAAACACGAGAAATTATAACGAAAATACGACACTATTTCTCGGTAAGCAATATTAAAATAAGTGAAGTCCTTGAAAAACTGATTTGAACGATAAACTCTCATTCTTAAAAATATTTAAAGTGATTGAACTCGCGATGTTTTGATCACTTCTGGGTTTTCTACAACTGCGTACCGCCAGACCTCATCTGAAGGTTTTGTAGTCCTTCAACCTCGCAACCGTGGATCACCCTGATATACTATATAATTTAGGGATTTGATGTGATCATACTTTACCTTTACAAATTTTCTTTCCGTCACCTTCGTATCCCTTGATGCATGTGCATTTGAATTGATGTTCACCAAAATTTTCGCATGTTGCCATTGGGTGACACGGTTTACGATCACAGGGGAAAATCTCTGAAGAAGAGAAAATTATACAAAAAGATTCAGGTACAGACCTTCATATGACAAGTATGGAAATACATATTTTCATAGCAATTGTATGCTTCAATTATTTGTTACTCTTAATTATTAAATTTCAACTTTCAACCGTTAGGCTTCACACAAAAGCTGTGCTGAATTTTATTGAAGCGATGTCCAAAAATTGTGATATATATAATATTGGTTAGGAATATGCAATTTGCCACACAGCCCAGCAAGGCCATACGGATATCGATGTTACCTCAACAATACTACAAAAGCTAAGCTGGGTTTGTTAGCCAAATTTGCCGTTTCCATCAAAATACGACCTGTTGCTTTTCAATATAAACTCACTTTTGCATTTGTAACCATCTCCACTGTATCCATCAAAACATTTACATGCATAACTGTCATAGCCTTGTGGAATGCATTTAGCATAAGTGTCACATCCATGATTTCTGCAGGGGTCAATCTCTGCAATACACAATATTAAATATTTTAATAAATATTATGATAAGATTTTGGGGACAAGTTGCAGAAAAACGTTTTCATTACCAATTTAATATTATTTTACATTAGATAAGTACCTATTCGCCATAACCGGAAGATAGATCGCAATATAATATTGTATGTACTGCAACTGATTTACCTCTGCAAACCTTCTTTCCGTCACCTTCGTATCCCTTGATGCATGTGCATTTGAATTGATGTTCACCAAAATTTTCGCACGTCGCCTTTGCGTGACACGGTTTACGATCACAAGGAAAAACCTCTGAAAAAATAGAAATTGGGCAGAAAGATTAATGTACAGGTGTTACATAACATGTATGGAAATACATTCATTCATATGAATTATACACTTTGATTGTTTAATAATCTTGATAATGAATTTCTACTTTCAATTGCTAAACTTTTGCACAAAAGCTAAAAACCTTGATGAAAAGATGATTTGTGCTTAGACAGTTCGTCACACAATCTCGCAATGATCTCTTGTCTTACGAAAGCTTTTATTTATGACGCAGAAAAACTAATTGGCAAATATATTTTACAGAGAGTTCATGTTGTAACTAACTATATTCGCATACACGCAACCTATTTCTGTTTTTGTAATTATTGTCCGAAATAGCTTTCATTGTAGTATTCTTCATTTGTCAGCACTACCAGCAATATATATAAGATTTAAGAAATATTAAATATTCATAAACTTCATAGATATTGTCTCAGGAATACTATAAATTCCAATATGGGAATGTTGACCTTATCAATCACAATACGATTCATTGCTTTTCAATATGAACTCACTTTTGCAATTGTAACCATCTCCTCTGTATCCATCAAAACATTCACATGCATAACTGTCATAGCCTTGTGGAATGCATTTAGCGTAAGTGTCACATCCATGATTTCTGCAGGGGTCAATCTCTGCAATACATAATATTAAGTATTTTAATAAATATTGTAATAAGACTTTGATGAAGAGTTGCAGAAAAAAGTTTTCATTACCAATTCATTATTATTTTACATTAGATAAGTACCTATTTGCCATAACCGGGAGCTAGATCGCAATATAATATTGTATGTACTGATTTACCTCTGCAAACCTTTTTTCCGTCACCTTCGTATCCCTTGATACATGTGCATTTGAATTGATGTTTACCATAATTTTCGCACGTTGCCTTTGCATGACATGGTTTACGATCACAAGGGAAAACCTCTGAAAAATTGGAAATTGGGCAATAATGTACAGGTGTTACATGACAAGTATGGGAATACGTATATTAATTATACACTTTGATTGTTTATTAATCTTGATAATGATTTATTACTTTCAACTGTTAAATTTTGCACGAAAGCTGAAAACCTTGACGAAACGATGATTTGTGCTTAGACCAGGGGTCAACAACTTACGGCCCGCGGGGCGGATCCGGCCCGCGGAGTAATATAATCCGGTCCGCGACGCTTCACTGAATTATAGCGACAAAACTGTTTTGACACTTATATTCTTAACGTAACAGAATTTATTGTGAGACACGTGTAGACAAAATTATATTATAACCTAACAAGTATATAATTCACAATTATTCGTTTAATGAGCCTATAATATAAATATAATTAGACAAATGATAACGAAACACAAAAAAAAATTGATGCTAAGTGTAAAAGGTTTAATGGCGCCAAAAATATCCAAATGGGATTTTTTGAGATGCAATGCAATGGGGAAATAAATCTATATTCTATTCGATAGATGTATCACTGCTTGATGCTTGATTTTATTATAAAAAGTATTTTCCGTTTGGTTTTCAACTTTCTAAAAATATATGCGCCCCGCCAATGCCTTGCAACACTTATTTTGGCCCGCGAGCGACAAAAGGGTGCCGACCACTGGCTTAGACAGTTCGTCACACGATCTTGCAATGATTTCTTGTATTACGAAAGCTTTCATTTATGACGCAGAAAAAACCTCCTGGCAAATATATTTTACAGAGAGTTCAAGTTTTACCTGACTATATTCGAATACATGCAGCCTATTTTTATTTTTGTAATTGTCCAAAATGGCTTTCATTGTAGTATACTTTATTTATCAGCATTACCAGCAATATATATCAGATTTAAGAAATATTAAATATTCATAAACTGCATAGATATTGTCTCAAGAATACTATAAATTCCAAGCTGGAAATGTTGACCTTATCAATCACAATACGATTTATTGTATTTCAATATGAACTCACTTTTGCAATTGTAACCATCTCCTCTGTATCCATCAAAACATTCACATGCATAACTGTCATAGCCTTGTGGAATGCATTTAGCGTAAGTGTCACATCCATGATTTCTGCAGGGGTCAATCTCTGCAATACATAATATTAAATATTTTAAGAAATATTGTAATAAGACTTTGATGAACAGTTGCAGAAAAACGTTTTCATTACCAATTCAATATTATTTTACATTAGATAAGTACCTATTTGCCATAACCGGGAGCTAGATCGCAATATAATGTTTATGTACTGTAACTGATTTACCTCTGCAAACCTTCTTTCCGTCACCTTCGTATCCCTTGATGCATGTGCATTTGAATTGATGTTTACCATAATTTTCGCACGTTGCCTTTGCGTGACATGGTTTACGATCACAAGGGAAAACCTCTGAAAAATCGGAAATTGGGCAATAATGTACAGGTGTTACATGACAAGTATGGGAATACGTATATTAATTATACACTTTGATTGTTTATGAATCTTGATAATGATTTATTACTTTCAACTGTTAAATTTTGCACAAAAGCTGAAAACCTTGATGAAACGATGATTTGTGCTTAGACCAGGGGTCAATAACTTCAACCCGCGGGGCGGATCCGGCCCGCGGAGTAATATAATCCGGTCCGCGACGCTTCACTGAATTATAGCGACAAAACTGTTTTGACATTTATATTCTTAACGTAACAGAATTTATTGTGAGACACGTGTAGACAAAATTATATTATAACCTAACAAGTATATAATTCACAATTATTCGTTTAATGAGCCTATAATATAAATATAATTAGACAAATGATAACAAAACACAAAAAAAAAATTGATGCTAAGTGTAAAAGGTTTAATGGCGCCAAAAATATCCAAATGGGATTTTTTGAGATGCAATGCAATGGGGAAATAAATCTATATTCTATTCGATAGATGTATCACTGCTTGATGCTTGATTTTTATTATAAAAAGTATTTTCCGTTTGGTTTTCAACTTTCTAAAAATATATGCGCCCCGCCAATGCCCTGCAACACTTATTTTGGCCCGCGAGCGACAAAAGGGTGCCGACCACTGGCTTAGACAGTTCGTCACACGATCTTGCAATGATTTCTTGTATTACGAAAGTTTTTATTTATGACGCAGAAAAAACCTCTTGGCAAATTTATTTTACAGAGAGTTCAAGTTTTAACTGACTATATTCGAATACATGCAGCCTATTTTTATTTTTGTAATTGTCCAAAATGGCTTTCATTGTAGTATACTTTATTTATCAGCATTACCAGCAATATATATCAGATTTAAGAAATATTAAATATTCATAAACTTCATAGATATGGTCTCAAGAATACTATAAATTCCAAGCTGGAAATGTTGACCTTATCAATCACAATACGATTTATTGTATTTCAATATGAACTCACTTTTGCAATTGTAACCATCTCCTCTGTATCCATCAAAACATTCACATGCATAACTGTCATAGCCTTGTGGAATGCATTTAGCGTAAGTGTCACATCCATGATTTCTGCAGGGGTCAATCTCTGCAATACATAATATTAAATATTTTAAGAAATATTGTAATAAGACTTTGATGAACAGTTGCAGAAAAACGTTTTCATTACCAATTCAATATTATTTTACATTAGATAAGTACCTATTTGCCATAACCGGGAGCTAGATCGCAATATAATGTTTATGTACTGTAACTGATTTACCTCTGCAAACCTTCTTTCCGTCACCTTCGTATCCCTTGATGCATGTGCATTTGAATTGATGTTTACCATAATTTTCGCACGTTGCCTTTGCGTGACATGGTTTACGATCACAAGGGAAAACCTCTAAAGAATTATAGATATAAATTATTATACATATACATTAGATACATATATACATATTATATCATTATATGCATTAGTTTTTTTTTAATGTTCCTCTTACTAAACATGTTTTTACATAATATAAGTGTTGTGTGTCGATATAAATAATTACTAATATTTCATTTATCTAATCGCGGGAAGACAAGAGTTTTATATCATATTGTGCAGAATCAAGAGAAATTTCAAAGATTTTTTTAAATGATATTTATTATCTCCTATTTCTTACAAAGCTATCGAATTTTCAAGCCGGGAGAGATGACTGACACTAAACACTGGTGTATGATTGACAATGACTTGATCTAGAAACGCGATGAAATGAGCAAAATCTCGGAATTTGGGAATTCGACATTTTCGAGATAAAAAAAGTGAAATGTCCTGTTCATCGCTTATTTCGTTCCTCTAAAAAAATATGTGAGTAATTCTAGATTGTACAAGTTTGCTCTGTGTAGCAGTCACTCAGGGCCTCCAGAAGTATGTGCGCCAAGAAGGAGCACAATCGGAACAGAGAGTATGTATAGCAGGTTATGGTCCAGGTTGTGCGCCATCTTGGTGAACATACTTTGGGAGCGCCGTCACTCATGACGATTTTATATCTAAACAGTTGATTTATCGTGCACTAGTGTAATTCCACAGACGGTGTTTATTTGGTTGGACATTCACTGACGATGGTGTGGTAAAAATAGGGAAAAATTCCATTTCTCATACATTGAAAAAGTAACAGATTCATATCTGTCTATCAAGTTTGAAGGTTTTCATTTTGTAAAACAAATACTGCACTTACGTCTGCAATTTCCATATCCATTTCCGTTATAACCGTCCATACATTTGCAATCGTATGAATCACCGCGTGCATAGCATTTTGCATATTTATGACATTTGTTTCCATAGCATGGGTCGATTGCTAAATGAAAATAAAGAAATGCTTTGTCTTATTTTGAAATATCAGGACCATGCATTGTATATGACATAAATGTTTCGTTATTTTCAATTTAATAATTGACTATACTCACGTTTGCAGCCGCCTCCGTACTCATTGGTGTAGCCTTTCATGCAAATGCATTTATGGCCTCCATAACCATCTGATTTGCATTCTGTGTATCTTGGACATGTTGCAGCGATGCATGGGTCAACAGCTGCAGAAAAGTGTTTTAGTTGAAACGCACAAGCAAAGACAAAGAAATAAGAGATCTGGCAGATTATCACGAACTCATTTTAGATCTTGGCTTGGCCTGATTTGACAATTAATTTGAGTGCAAAATACTTTAATTTCGGTAATGTTTTTCAATTCGATGAAATTAAATTAAACCTAAATATTTCCGATCTACTATATAGGAAAAATAAGAACTACATTATAGGTATTTTAAAATCTTGTTCAAATTCTATTTATTGAAACTATATTTAAAATATATCTTACGTTTGCATCCGGGTCCGTATTGATCGGTGTATCCGGTTAAGCATACACATTTATGTCCTCCATATCCATCTCTCACACATTTTGAATATTTCGGGCAAGACGCATATGCGCAAGGGTTGATAGCTACAAACAAGACAAATTTGGGTAAATAATATTGTTTACAACAAGATGCAGAGATAGATCATTGAATCATTTCCCTACAGTATGTGAACACGGCAAATGGAAAAATATCTTAAATGAAGATATGCCAATGTTTCATGCACGTTCACTGGCAACAACAATTTTCAAGTTCTCATTCGAAGCAAAGAAAAACAACAAAGTTAGGACGGAACCGTCTGAAAATATTTGTAAATATAGAATACAAACAGCAATGAGGATGATGTAGAAATAAAGTATTTTGAATAATTGAAGATGATAGAATAGCACTAAGTTAAAGTGTTGCAACTATAAGATAGAAAATAGTTTGATTAGAATCATGCTTTCGTTATGAATATGAGAATCCATAATGCGCAAACTCCATACTACCAATGAGTCATAGCTAAAGCTAGTTTATTTATGGTAATTTTTGGTAGATTTGCTTCAAATATTACAAACCACGTTGTGTTTTCATCATTAATTATCAGTATATTCTTAAAAACAATGCAATTTTCTCAAAACATCTGCAACCCATTCATTTTCAAATTCACGATCATATCTATTTCAATTTGCAACTCCTCAAATTCAACAACACCATGCAAGAATCTCGCCTTAGAGTACAGGACCAGATCAATATCATGGCAATTTTTTTTATCATTTTTCATTTCATATATATTTCTGAATTCAATATATAGCTCTAAGGGTTTTGATTTTCTGTTCGCCGCAATTGCCATGGTGTTCACAGGAAACAAAGTTATCTAAAAAGTATGTAAGATTTGAGAAAAGTTTCTGATGGTTAAGTGTCAGATGTTAAAAATGAATGACAAATATAAATGAAATTAATGATTCCATGCCAAATCAACGAACGAGCGTTGTCTCAAAGTTCGACTATGTGACTTGGTAAAATATGTCAAAACACCAATAACGTCCCCAAACTTTATTGGAAAACAAGAAATTTAACGTGGAATACTCGTATTTCACTCTTCTTCAAACGAATACCCGAATATTTAACGGAATATTTTTCAATTTTCTATGTTGACTTAGAATGAGATGTTTCATCCCGTTTTTTTTTGCGTAAATTAGTTTGTTTTGCGTACAAGAGTATAAGAAATAGCCCTTGGTGCAATTTGTTATTGTGAAATCGAAGTGAAGCCAAAAAGGAAAGTTCGAATGACTTGTGTTGCCCATTCACATGCGTCATGCGCGAGAATATTACACGTACAGATACAATTTGGTTCCACGTCGTTCCAAGCGCTCCCTCCACAAGTAAGCACAGTAAATCCCTCTAACGTATACCCTTCATCACAATAAAACTTGACCATGTCTCCTGCTACGTAAGCTTCCTTTTCCCCAGTATAGTGTCCGTGATTGGGTTTATCAATATTTCGACAATAAGTGACAAATGGCTCTGATAAAAAATGGAATGTTTGCTAGTTTTGTGAATAATTTTTTAAACAAATATCTATTAACAAGATGGCAAAAACTTTATTTGTTACAATGTTTTGCAGTGGTTTTTCGTGGTGTTATATTGTTACTTTGTAATTTTAACTGTAAATAATTTATATTCCCAAGGTTATTCGATTAAACGATTCGAAAATCATGAAAGTAAATTCTCACTTCTGCAAGTTGGTGCTTCTGGCATCCAATAGGCAGAGAAAGGTCCATGTAAAAAGTCTGGTTTCAATTCACAAGTTCGTATTCTTGCCCCACTCAGCTTGTAACCTGCTTTGCATCTGTAGGTGATGGTCTTCCCAACCGCAAACGATTGTTGATTTCCACCACTGTGGCTTCCGTGGGGAATTCTTCCTGGATTTGAGCAGTAAGTTGGAGTGGTTGGGTACAGAGTGTCATCGGTGGGCGGGTAGTATGTATTATCTGGCGTTGGGTAATGTTTTGGTTCATAAGGTTTCGGATTGTAAGAATCTGGTTTGTACGTATTTGGTGGGTATACGTTGGGTATGTCTGTAAATAAAACGAACAAAATGATTTCAATAAATGTGTCATCTTTAAAGCATTAATAACAAAGAGACACAATGTTTTTATAAATAAAATAATAAATAGGAAACGCTTTTCGTCAGATTAAATCAAAATTTGTAATGTCAATAATGTATGGTTGTTTCTATTCAGCAAAATAGGTCTAAACTAAATATAGCTCATATCGAAAGCTCAAAATCGAGCAAAATTTAGTGTATATAGTTCCTCAAATTAAAAACAATCTGCTATCAGACATCAGAACTAATTTCAATTTTCATCATTTAATCTTGGATTTATCTTTAAATTTTATTCTATGAAGCTTCCAAAATTCCAATTTTTGGTACCAGGTTTGATTTTACGACAAAACAAAAGTATAAATTATGAGTGGAAGGAATTTTTTCAAGCAATTAAGGTTTCATATAACATCTATCAGAAAATAGCCATTTTGATTTTTTTGAAAGCTGTTTCAATACTGGACGCAAATTAAATGTTTTTCGGTATACTCACAGTCATCGCCCGTGTTGTAGAAACCATTGTCATCTGCGTAGGACAATCCTAGAATAGTTGCTACAGCAACAAATCCGAACAGCTTCATTTTTCAACAAATATCACACTAATTTATTTAAGTATTGTGGTATATTTATAAGTTCTGCCAGATGCAAGAATCAAAATGCATGTTTATTTATTCACATATGTTATTGAGGGCACAGCAATTTTTATTTTCTATATATTCGTTTATTCCAAATTGAGATTCTAGTTTCTCCTGCGCTTATATGATTACACCAAGCTTATGTTTTACAAACAACGCGAATATCGTTACTACGGTTTTGCATAGTATAACATAGGTTACAACTTTAACCCATTTTCTCAACTTTGCCTTTAAATAGCAGCAGCAAAACTAATCTGTCTCCTGGCGTTGGAAAATAGAAAAGTGGTATCAGATTAACTAGCGCATTACTTTTTATACCAATAGTTTAGTTGTTCACTTATCCTCTCGCCCCCGGGGATTTAAAACATTAATTTCACGTCACGCCTACATTGTCAAAAATAAGTCTTGTCACATATATTTTTTAGAAAAATAATGAAATATATGATAATTTTTTGTCGGAACAATACTGAGAAATCATATTTAAATTGTATTTGTGAATTATATATTTTTATAATTTTTACTTTACAAGACAATGAAAACATAATAAATGAATATACAAAAAAGTGAAATAGAAACGGCATATATACATGTTAAAAAACATGGTTAAGTTTTATTTAAACTTTTTAGGCGAAGTCAAACAACTGTGCCTTAAATATCATTAGACCAAATATATTTTGCGGATCATTTTAAAAGCAATTTCTCCGATTTATATCTTTCAAAAACACATTGAATTATAGGCAAATTTAAGTGTTGCAAATAGCAGAAAATCAATTATATTGGGTCGGGTATAATCTAAAAATTAGTCACCAAACCTGTAGTCAATATTCAGTCGATTTGGATTATTTTAAAATGACAAAACTTTAATGTAAAATGCTAGATCGCTACTCTGAGTGTTGCTGCGAGTGTTATTTGGCTCCTTATTTTTGTGAAATTAACCAGTTATTCGCACAGCGCTGATGGCTGACATCAGTCAGAGTTTGACTTGTATATACCGATATATAAAGATTATCATATAAGAGCAATCTTAAAGTAAGACAATTATTAAAGAAAAGAATTTCGAGATGAAAACTTTCATGCATATTTAGATATCGCGAGAAAAATATGTCAAATTATTCAGCACGTTAACCCTTTTATACAACATCTGTATTTTTTCTTCATTTATGTAAAAAAAGTTTATTTGATATCCACCTCAAACTCATAATCTGTGTGCTATACCAAATTCAAATATAAGTCCTTAACGTTAAACTAGGTGGCTGATCGGTATCTTTTTGTTGTAAACTACTTCAAGTTTGCCATTCACGTCGTTTTAGTCATGCAAGTATGACAAAAATGTCGCGTGAATGAACATACTTTTCAGTTTCTATCCACTATCTAGTTTCAAATCGAGCTATATTTGTTCATTCATCTGACTTTTGAGACATTGAAGATGACATTTATCTCTCACTAGCAAATGTCAGTGTTGAAAAAGTCGTAATTCAACTTTTTCTTGTGCAACCCGATTTAACTTGAATTAAAAGAAAAGAAATTTGTAGTCACGGCTGACAAAAATTTTGTATCTTGGTAACTTTTGTAAATACATTCAACTGCATGCAAAATAAAAACAAATATATCACTGACATTGTACTTGATTGAAACCCATCTAATTTTTGCGTTGGTTTTTAAAACAAAACTTTCGACTATGCCTTTATCAATGGTTTTTACTTGGTAATGCTTAATTTTTATCTGATGTAAGACGAGTTTTTTGAAAAACAGGTTAAAACTTCATATTTCATCTGTAAACTCCTAATTTACTGATAAAATGCGTAGGTGTAGGTGTACATACGTAAGTCTCTACATCAGATAACTGCGGTGTGTTTAGTTGGTTTGGTATTTCATCGCATGATATTTGATCCTTGAGACGATCCATAATATCACTCGACATTGCTATGTGAGTTCGTTTATCGGGCATCACTACAGTTAATATCTCAATGACCCGCAGGGCGAAACTGGGAAAGTATTGCGTCGATAAACGTGTTGTTCTCGTACCGAAACAAGATTAATATTAACGGATTACAAATTAAAAATACTACAAATTAATATTACAATAATATTTGTCCCATATGAGTCATTATATATACATTCATTTGAACAAAATTGAGATATCTCTGTAAGTACGATACAGTCAATATGATGACGCCATTTTCGATACATTAGTTTCATCAATCTGTTGAATAAGAGTTTCTACGTGGTTTCTATACTCTATACTCAAAAATAGAACTTGAAGCTCCATTGAAAAAAATCCCTTCTCATTTTTTCATGTCTGATACATGACTAACATAATAAAAGTAAACAATTTTTTGAATTTTATATGCTCTGTGTTCAACGCTCATATACTCGGTTACATGAGGTATTTATTGGTGAGTCATTGATAAATGATGCTATAAAGAAAATGCCTGCTGTGAATTTCAAACAAAAACACAATTAGTTTCAAGATGTACAATGTCCTGAGTTAGATATTTTGTAAATATTTTGTATGTGCCATATAATAGCTATAAAGGCAAATACAAATAAGTACAGAATCATCAATATGCTGTTTAACATCGTGAAGTTGCATAAGACCAAATCACGCTGCATTGCTTACGTCTAATCTTGTATAATAATAATAGTATGAGAATGCATGAGCAGAAACAAGTATGCACCAGGATTCTAACAAAGACACCCAGTGCTGTCTCACTGATATTTATTGTATGCCAGATATCTCGAGCACTGAAAGTTTTTTCCCGCTGAAGAAGTGAATGTTTGTTCAAAGCTTTGTTTGGAAATATGGTCAGGATCGCCTCACAAAAATAAATTTTTTAATACTACTAGTTAAAGGGGGTGGTCCATGTATGCGAGAGATGCATCGCGAACTGTAAATTAAGTATGCAATCGAACTTGAGATAAGAAAACGTTTCGAACAATTTCTTCCAATAAGGGAACAATCATACCATATGAAATGTAATCCTATTCGGACAAATAAAAAATGGAATTCCTGGATTTTCAATCGATTGTTTTTGATATTCATGTACATAATAAAATTTGCTTCCGGCAGTGGATAAAAAATATTCTCAAATGCTTGTGAACTGAGTGAATTGTGAAGTTTCAATCATTGACACAATTAGAGCCTACGGCAAATTTGTCTATGAAAATATGCTAAATCATTACTTCTTTATATAGAATTATTTTCGTGTTATGTAAAATTCAAATATTGGATAATAACCAAACTTGAAAAAAACTGATTAATATACACATAGCATATTTTAACCGGTATTGTATTCGGACAGTTTACAGAAAACTAAAAAAACGTTTTATGTAATGAGGATTTTTTCTTTTATAGCGAGACAGAAATAAAGCAACTTGTCATAAACAATAGTTACATACATCTTGAGCCCTAAAATGGAAATTCCTATGTAGGTATTTATAACCACCCACCATGTTCCATGTAAATCGGCGGGAACTAAACATTTCCAGTAAAACAGATTCCACAAATCGGATTATGGCGAAGCAAGCGGAGTTATGAGAGGATGGGAAAGTAAACGATCACGTCGGAGATTGTGGGACGTCGGGTTTGAGAGGACAATATGTTAGATAAGCCAATTTCTAACTAAAAAAGTTCCACAAAATCTTGTGATAATTCCAACGAAACCTGTTTAAATTTGCAATTGAAAAAACAACAACAGATTTTTCCACAGTCGACGTGATTCTCTTTCCAAATTTGGTATTTATTTCATTAAATGTGTTTGTTTTGTGTTCTGTGGTTCTTTATAAGCTGTTCATTATCTCTACTTTATTCCAATGTAACGAAATTGAAAAGCAGTTTGTGGTAGAACGCTAAAAAGTCTTAATTTTAATCAACAACAAAGTATATTGAAAAAAATATTCACAATTGTAAAATATTACACTTTTAATTGATATTGAATTTAACAGTATATAGTATTACATTTTGAATCACAAGGTTCAAGAAAACATTTGTTGTATAAACAAACATTAATAATGAGATTTAGTGGCAAAGCAATCACTGGAAAAAAGTACATCAATAACAGGTACATTTTGTCGCTATAAGACCCATGAAAGCTTCAGAGGCCATATCTAATCGAATGATTGTTTTGTACCTTATCTGTTTTATATTTGTTCGGCATGCAAATAAATATATGAATGATGTGATTTTGGCCCCAATTTTTGCTTTGGAAAATTTAAAAAATAAAAGTTTTTAATTTTTCAAGACTCGAAATACGGATGACCGATTTTTTCCAACAATGCTTCCACCATACTTAAGCTATGGCTTATATATGAATCAAAATATTTCTTAAATCGAACTTCTGGCTTTTAGAGTTATTGTTGCAGACAGTTTGTGGTTTCCCTTTTTCTACAGCATTGATATTTTACATTCGACTGGAGTTGAGCTTTGGAGCACGTATATTGGTTTAGCTAGACAGCGAGCAAATCTCATTTGCAACTTTGTTTATCACAATTAACCCAAGCGACAACATATTACTTGCATTATCGAATAATTTAACGCTCAACGTGTGAACATTTCCTTAGATTCCAAGTAATGCGATGCAAAAAACGCAACAGGTTTGGCTACATCCGAAGTGATTCTCCTTCCAAAGTTGTTCTTTGTTGTTACATGTTACATGTTGTTACATGTTACATGTTACATGTTGTTACATGTGGTTGTTTTGTGTTCATAATTGGTTGATTATTTCAATCTAAATTTGAATTCATGGAATTAGCATTAAATTAAATGGATCCATTTACATCGGAGGAGTTCGTAAAGCAGTTTGTGGTAGCCCGCTAAAAGGTTTTCATCCAAATAAATAACAAATGAAGATTATTAAAAATTCACAAATCAAAAATATTACATTTTCAATCTAAATTAAATTTAAAATAATATTACATTTGAAATATTAGGACATGAGTAGAATAAGGATACATTTATTCAACAAACAGGCTTGGTATAGCTCTGCTGGAATAATATTTATGATGACGTCATAGTAA